TCTTGTTTCTTGATCCATTCTGCTAGTCTGTTTCTTTTGATTGTCAATTGAGACCATTTACATTGATGGTTATAATTGATATGTATTGACTTATCCCTGTCATGTTATTTTCCTGTTGTTGATTCCCTTTGTTTCTCATTTGTTTAATTACTTGCCTTGCCTAGTGGATTCATTCTGTTGGGGTTCATGGAGTTTTAGTCTTTGTAATCTCTTTCTAGAATATTCTTCAGAACATTTTGGAGTGCTGGTTTGGTGGTCATAAATTTTTTCAGGTGCCTTTGTCATGGAAGTATCTTATTCCTCCATTCATTTTGGAAGATAGTTTTGTGGGGTATATCAATCTGGTTGGAGACTGTTTTCATTTTGGGCTTGAATACTTCACTCCAAGCTCTCCTTGACTTAAGAGTTTGTGTTGAGAAGTCTTCTGTAATTCTGATGGGCTTTCCTTTATAAGCGATTTGTTTCTTTTCTCTAACATTTTTTAAATTTCTGCTCTTGTGTTGAATTTCTACAATCCTGGCTATTATATGCCTTGGGTAGACTTTTTTTATCATGGCTAAATGGAGTTCTATATGCCTCACTTATCTGTATGCCAAGTTCTTTTTCCATGCTTTGCAAGTTTTCTGCTGTTACTTCTGTGAACAGGTTTTTTATGTTGTTTAAATTACCTTCTGTTTTTTCATTGACTTTGATGAATCTTATGTCATTCTTCTTTGCATCATATAGCGGCTGTTGGACAGAATTTTTTATGGTCCTTTGCTATTTTTTAAAGAAATCTTTCTTTTTCTGGTTGTTAACCACAATTCTGTTTTCTAGATCTGATATGCTGTGTTCACATTGGTTCATTCTGCTGGGAAAACTTTCAATAGAATTTTTAATCTTATGGATATCTCATTGAATCTGTTTCATGGATTCTATTTCTCTCCTATGTTGGGCATTCATGGTTTCTATTATTTTCCTAAGCTCCTCTTTTTTTTTATCTTTATCTTCTGTAGATTCACTAATCCTGCCCTTCATTATGGCCATCATCTCTGAAGTTATCTGAGAAATTATTTCTGATTTGATTTTTTTTTTCTAGAGCATCATTCATTTGCTTTGTTACTTCTGCTGTTACCACTTCCACTGTTACCAGGTGGGTGGATTTCAAATTGTTCCACTTCATTGACCCGTGGATTTGCCTCTAGTGATCTGGAAGTCTGTGTGGTTGCATCTTGCTTTTGCGTCTTCTCAATTTCTATTTTTTTCCAGTTTAATTCCTGCATTGATGCTTGTAAATTGTTTATGGTAGGTATCTTTATTGCTAGTATTGAGAACTCTTAGGAAATGACTACTTTTCAGAGATGTCTTCCAGATATAGCTGGCTTTTGGGTTTTGATTCTGTTGAAAGATCCTATCTCTTCAATTTACTGGGGATGAGAAGTTGCTGTCTATTTGGCCTAGCCCCTTTGACATTGGCCTATAGTATTGTTTATGATCCTCAGACAATCTCAGTCTTGGCATACAAGGAAGAACAACTGAACAATTATGACACCTTGACTAAAGTAGCACAATCAGTAATAACAATAGCATCAAACACACCCTAGAAAATGACAAACTGTGGTAATTATTAATTTACCACCTTTAACCATATGAACAGAATTTGTAATTATATAACCAAATCTAAAACATACCACAAAATTGCATATAGTAAATATCCCCTCAATATGGTAATTTTATCCTCAGGGAAGAAAAGGGGCAGAGGAAAAAATCGAAAAATAGAAGAGAAAGGGGTCAGAAGCAAGGCTGGAGGACAAAAACATATTATGCAAGCTTTGGGAACTGGTGAAGAAGACAGAAGGGAAAGAAAAAAGGAAGAAACAAAAACAAGAACAGAGTAAAACAAACAAAAAACAAAATAAAACTAGAAACAATGTGTGAGAACACATATAAAAACAAGATCAAGAAAAAGAGAAAAAATAGAAAATTAAAAATTTTAAATAAACATTTTTGAAAATTAAAAAGCAAAGAAAGGAGGAAAAGTAGGGGAGAATGTCCATTTCAGGGCATGTCTCTGCTGTCACTAGTTGACAGAAGAGGTAGACAGCCCAGATCCATGCTGACTGATCCCAGCAAGCCAGCAGTAGAATTATGGCAGTGGTAGATAATCCAAGCAAACCTGAGCCTTTAGTTCCACTTAAGTTCAGGCTGGTCCTGGTTTCTGGTTGTGAGGCTAGAACCATAGTTTTTCAGCCTGCAACACTCTGAGTGACTTTTGCCAGCTTGAACTTGGCTCCCTGTAGGCTTCCACTCAGCTCACTGCCAACTTGAACTCAGCACCCTGGTCTCCTGCCAACTGGAACTTGGTTTCACCTCTCCCTGACACTTGGAGCTGATAGATGGGGGCAACCCTGCAGCTATTCTGAGTTCTGACTCCCGTTGATCCTTTTCCAAAATGGCTACTGGTCAATCACCCACACCTGAGTGGCATCTGAACCCACATAGCTCACTAGCACTGAAGTCTGCAGCATCCACTGCTCCACTCCACTGATGCATTTCTCTGTAGAAGCCTCTGGGGTAGCCAGTAATCACTATGCCCCTGCAGGTTTCAGCCACCCCTCCCACATCAGAAGTGGGGGGTCAGGGAAAAAGCACTGCTCGCCATCTCCCTCCTCCATGTTGTAGTCCCTCTCCTTGCTCTTTTCATGGGCTCTAATTCTCACCAGATCCTTTCTGGGTTCCAGAGACCCACTTTCCTCCTCTTCCTCATGCTGCTATATTCCAGCGTCTATATTCCAAATACCGGAGAGGCTGTTTCTCTGTTGCTCACTATTCTGCCATCTTCCCAGAAGTCTCTTGAGACCGTAATGTTAAGTGAAATAAGGCAGACACAGAAATTTAAATATTACATGGTTTCTCTTATATAAGAAATCTGAAGCATAGGTAAATAAAAGGGTAAAATAGAGATGGTAAGAAACAAAAAGGCAGATTTGTTGTGAATAGAGAAAGGGATCAGAAAGAATAGGGAAGATGGATGGCAAGAGGAGGGATAAAGAGATTAACAATGCTTAAGATATGATATATCCATGTACCAATCCCCTAAAACAAATGTAATTATTATTTATCACAAATATACACTAGTAAAAAACAAAAAGGGCTGGTCATGTAGCTCAGTGCAAAGGCCTTGGGTTCAATCCCCAGAACTGAGAAAAAAAAAAAAAAAAGAAAAGGAACAAAATTTAATTCAATTAGAATGAGGAAAGAAATCTCAATAAGATATGAATTTTTTTAAAGCTGACAAGTCTTACATCACACATGAAAGCCAGAAAAATAGCATAAACCTTTCAATTAATTAAATATCTTCATGCTTCTAGAGTATTCTGTTATTGAATAGCTCTGGCTCCTGTTCACTTCCAACCCTGTTTTCTTCCAACCCCACACCTATTACCACATGCCTAAGGACTTGGCCAGTGAGGGCAGCAACATTCTTGATGTCATTTCTTCAGCCAAATAGCTAGCAGTACCCACTCAGGAGAGTCTGAACCACACTCAAACTAAACACTTCCTGGTCCTAGTTCCCCCTTAGCCAGATTCCAGAATACCCACAAGTGTGACACAGCCAACCCAAGTAGAAATGTGAAGAAGGGGATGTTGGATTGGAAAGAGGTAGTGGTCTAATTACTTGCGTTAAAAACATATACTGCTTTATAAAACATATCGGCACACAAATGCACTGTTGGGGCCCTGATAGGGCCATGTAAAGGGCCCTAGAGCTTCAGTTCCATCACTTTTGCAATAGCTGTCTCTGATCCAAAGTTTGTCACCTAATAGTTCCACTTTCTTACCTTCTAACAACTTATAAATAAATTGTGAATGCATACAATACATGAGTCATTTTTACAAGAGAAAAATGCAGAGTAAAACATTATCAATAAGGCAAGCATGTCTTCATTTTTATTTTCCATTCTCTCTCTCTCTCTCTCTCCTCTCTCTCTCTCTCCATCCTCCCTTTCTCTCTCTGTCTCTTAACACTCATTCCCTTTGCTTATTCCACACCTTCCACCTGGCCTCATCTCCACTGTTTAAATACAGCAGGAACACCCCGCCACTGGGCCTCTCCTCTAGATCTTCCTTCTACCTGTTCACTATTATCCTAGATATCTGCTTGGCTTTCTGTCCTCCTAGTTTTTGCTTAGATGTGACCTACTAATCACCTTATAATTGACACTCCCCTCCCAACCTCTTCCAGCATTCATGAGACCTCTTACTGTATTCTACACTTTCTCTTTATTATACCAATTAGTGTTTAACATGCTATATAATGTATTTAGTTATTGTATGTATTGCTTATTCTAATGTCAGTTCAAGGATCTTTGCTCTTTAATTCACTGACATATTCTAACTGCCTCACGTAGTACCTGTCATACATTTCTCAATATTAGGCTTTAAACATTCTTAGACTCAAATTAGTGGTCATATCCCCTGAAGAAATTTTCCTAGTATTTCCTCTATCCCCTAGGACAGAGCCTTGTGCTTATCTTTATTATAGTAACCAAGATTTCATATTGAGATAATTTGTTTTTGTATCTGTCCCACATTCGTGCATTAAATCTTTTAGCATAAAATCATATCCTGTTTATGTTATACCTCTAGGCATTTGTACAATGCTTATTGAACTAAATTGAACAGACAAGAAACATAAACCCAGAGAAGAGACATGATTTATCACCAATTCATTGGGAAATCTATTGGTATGAAGGTAAGAAAGAGAGTAAGAGTCAACTCAATGTCTTTTGTCTATATTGTCTGAGGCTAGAACTAGATAATTATAAGCAACATCCCCTGGCCCCCACACCTGCTTCTCAAGCTCCAATTTTCACTGAATTCTTGATCAGAGGACAAGAACCTGTGATGAAGCCCACAATCCCCACCCCTACCGCGGGCAGAAATCTCTTCCTTCTTCCTAGGCCACTGGGTGACACTACTCTCTCCAGGGCAGGTTTCACCCTGACTTTCATTGACAGGTCATTCAGAATCTGAGACGATCACCAGGGCCTCCGGCAGCAACGTGACTCTGCAAAGCTCCAAGAAACTGCTCGATAACTTCACACATGGCACCTGGTTTTACACTACCAACCAGAAGATTGTGGAATGGGACCCAAAAGAAGTTAACTACTTCAACACTAAATTTAAACACAGGATCAGACTTGATAATCAAAGTGGTGCATTACATATCTATAACATCCAGAAATCGGACAGCAGTACTTACATCTTGAGAGTATCAGAGGAGGACGAAGATGAACGCGAGGTCAAGATAATCTTGAAGGTGTTTGGTGAGTTAGGAAAATGAAATGGCAAGTCCAGGGCCCTGGGTGGACCACTTCCTGGGACTCCTGGGGACACTGTCTGGGAGAAGGGGCAGAAGTCTCAGACAGGCTTAATTCATTTCCCCCAAGGCCCTTTCTCCTTAAGAGTGAGCTTGGGCCAGCAAACCCCCCAAAGCTGTTTTCTTTCTACCTCCTTCATGCTGTCCTATAATGAACCCATATCAGTTCTGAACTTATATGAATTATATTTCTGATCTTGGACCTCAGACTTGTGGGAAAAGGTATAAAAAATTAAGGTTGAGGCAGGAGATATTATGGAGAGTCTTTTTAACCTATCAGAATGAGAGTGACAAAAACTTCCACATATAGCTCCAGCCTAACCAGTGTATAAGGAATAAAGACTAAGACATTCTGCTTGGAGTCAGACAGGCCTGGACTCAAAGCTCCGGTTAGGTGAAGTAAGCCAGGTAAAGAAAGACAATTATAATATGTTCTCACTCATTTTTGGAAGCTAAAAATGTTGATCTCATAGTAGAGAGGATAGTGGTTACTAAAAGTTAGGGAGGGCAGGAGAAGGCCGAAAGGTTGGATAACGAGTACAAAATACAGTTACATAGGAAAAATTAGTTCTAGTATTCTATAGTACAATAGAATGATGGTCTACAATTCTCTCTTTCTCTCTTTCTCTGATTCTCCCCGTCTCCCTATGTCCTCTCCTTCTCTCTCTCCCTCTCTCATTCTTTGTAGTGATAGGTATTAAACCCAAAGAAAGCCACTCACTGAGCTATATCCCTGGCCCTTTTTATTTTATTTTGACACAGGGTCTCACTAAGTCACCCAGGCTGACCTAGAACTTCCGATACTCCTGCCTCAGCCTCTTGAGTAGCTGGAATTATAGGCATGTGCCACCACACCTAGCTTATTTATTATATATTTCACAGTAACTAGAAAAGAGTTGAAAGGTTCCCGACATAGAAGTGACAAATACACCAGGTATGCTACCTGTGATTCCAGTACTCTGAGAGGCTGAGATAGGAAGATCCCAACTTTGACCCCAACCTTGGATAACCTAGCAGCTTAGTGAGACCTTGTCTCTAGATTTAAAAGAGTTGGAGATGTAGGAATGTTGGGAATGTATAAAGTTTCCTGGGTTCAATTCTCAGTACTGCAAATTTACTAATTAAATGTTTGAGGAGATAAATGCTAATTATCCTGATTTGATCCTTGCCAATTGCACACATGTATCAAATTATCATACCATACCCTTAAATATGTAAAATTATTGTCTATTAAAACTTAAAACCAAAAGCAACAAAAAACCTCTGGTCAGTCATCCACTTGTTTTGTCATTTTGGAGAACTATCTTAATATCTCTATGTCCATATTAGGTAAAGCTCTTTTGACAGCAAATATCAGAAACCAATCTGCTGTATTTTTACTCAGTAAGGACAAGTTATTTTTAAGAAACAAAGAGCAACTGCAAAAGCAGAGCAGAAAAAGCAGAGCGAAAGCAGTGCATTAGAATCAAGAAGAAATAAATGGGAAAAATACCAGGATCAGCTGAGAGTCCCCAGGCTCAGTAATCTGTGGACAGTGGCTACAGATTCCTGTTATTTATACCATTTATTTCTCAAAGTTTAGACTTTTATAACCTCGAGTTTAAATTCTCAGAGAAATTTGATGAAAGAAAAACCAATTTATCCAACTTGGTTCAGGCTTGTGTATCTGATCTAAACCTTTATGGCCAAAAGGATCAAGTAACACTATGGAAATGAGGCTCCTGGAAAAGCTTCCATGGGGTTGGGTTGGGCAGTGATTGCAGAAAGGGAACCAGGCTGATAGCTTTTCACTCAGACCCTTGAGTTCCTCTTCACATTGTGAAGGTAATCATAACCTCCTTTCAAGGTGTTATGAGCATCAAAGCGGATAATCAAAGTGGAGAAAACACTTTAAGCATGCTAACCCAGTGCAGATGAAGGGTGTTGAATACATTCAGGTCCTACCAGCTAGGTGGTCCCTGGTGTAAGAAGCCAGTGTTTCCTCACTCACTGCCTCCATATTATATGGCCTGGAAATACAGGTGGTCTTGGGAAGAGGAAAGCTTTTTGCAGTGTTATTCTCTGCAAGACCAAAATCAGAGAAAGCAATCAAAATTAAAAGACCCTATTTGTATCCCATTTACCAACATCTGTAATTTCTGTGGTGTAAATACTTCCACCACAGTTGATTCCAAGTCACTAAAGTTTTTCACAATCAGCTTGCAACATTTCTGAATATCTCAAAATTCACAAGCTGGCTCAACTCCAGCATACCCTACCTAAGGGTAAGACCCCCAGGATGTGATCAGTAGGAGAATAATGTTTCAGTCCAGCCCGGACATTTGTGATTGTTCAAATGGGGCATCTTGGAGCCCAGACCACCCTAGCTGGTTCAATGAATACCATCAACAAAGCTGTGCTGGTCATGGAGGGAAATGTAGAAGGAGTATAAGATATGAGGATGAAACACAGGTAATTGTGAAAACAAAAACAGTATACAGATTGCTCACTTAAAGGATGTAGAGGCTGGGTGTGGTGGTCCACGCCTGTAACTTCATCTGCTAGGGAGGGTGAGGTAGAAAGACTGAAAATTCAAGGCCAACATGAGCAATTTAGTTCAACTCTGCTTCAAAATAAAAACTGAAAATGCCTGGGCCTGTAATTTAGTGGTAGAACACACTACTAAGTTCACTAGGTTCAATCCCTAGTACTAGAAGAAAACAAACAGCACGTGGGCGATCAGTCCAGCAGTCTGAGACGTCTTGAGTAAGCAATGGAACTTGAGTTCTGGGGGCCATATGGGAAGCCCCTGCGCAGTCTCCCAACACATACAATCCAGAAACAAGCTGTGATCTGGTCAATTCTCTGCCACATTTTAATCCAACAAGGTCTGAGCTGCACTGATTCATCAGGTCTTTTGTCACTGACTAGAATGAAAAGATCTCAGAGGATTTTAGGCAAACCAGACCTAGGTGAGGAAGGATCAGATGCTGGGATTTCCTCTCTTCACATCTGGCATCAAGACAATGGTAGTAATGATAACGTGATTTCTATCACAGATGCAATACTTACACCCTACCAAAAGCATTTCTCCAAGGACAATGTCATTTTGTCTTACTAAATTGTACCATGAGGGGGTTTTGGACATGAGTTTGGGGAAGTTAACTACAGTGTTTAATGCCACTTCACTGGAGCCAAACCCAGGGCAGAAGCTGGTCATACTCCAAAGCTAGTGTTTTGTCCTTCTTGCCTCATAACTTCATCATCCATCTGTCTACCCATCCATCTATCCATCAGCTATTTGTGGAATATCTGCTGTGTGGCAGACACTGCACTAGACATTGAGATAGCAAGGTTAACAATCACCACTGACATGTGTTGGGGTTTCAGGAGGTTCTTATCTGTAACTCTGCCAGAGTCTAGGAGGATGGCATTTCCCTGCTGTGGCTGTGCAAAGGACTTTGCCAGGTGCAGGCTGGTACCTCTTGCCTTGGGGCTCCAAGTCTGAGCTTGAGAATTCTTGAGGAGCAGACTGGCCACAAGGTGCCAGCTATGGACCATTCTTAGAGAAGAAATCCTGGATAGCTCAGATAGTTGAGATGCCAAGTGTGACCCCAGCTGATCTCCTAGCAGTATGACGTGCTTTCTGGTCAACAGCACCTCATTTTGTTCCTGGTTGCAAGTAATGGACTCTGGCTCCCTCTTGTGGATGTAGCTTAGCACCACCTCCATAGAGGAGTTCTTGGCCCGGGAAGCCTCCCAAGGTCAAAGCTGCTCACTGGCTCCCTCTATAGGAGCTTCTTCTCCACAACAATGCCTCCCATAGTTCTCCCTGGTTCTCTTTGTACTTTGTTGGTTAAATGCCTCATAAATCATAAGTCCATTGCCTCATTTTATAACACCTTTCTTTCTTTCAGATCCTGTACCCGAGTTTGTGATACAAATTGAGACAACCAAGGAAGTGGGTGACAACTGTTATATGAATCTATCCTGTAGAATACCAGACCCATCTGTTGACTACACTTGGTATGGAGACTCAGGCTCCTTTCCAAAGGAACTCCACAGAAGTGTGCTTGAAGTCACCCTTACACCACAGAACCAGTCCAAGTTTTACACCTGTCAAATCAGCAATCCTGTGAGCAGCAAGAACGACACAATCTACTTCCTTCCACCCTGTACTCTGGGTAAGAAATAACCCCCAGGGGCTGAAGTGACCTTGGCCTCTGGCTTTCTTTTGATTTAAGAAAGTTGTGGGATGCTACTCAGCCTTCTGGCACAGAATGTGGTGGAGAATCCCAAAGGCATCTGGGTGCTTGGGAGACCTGGGTCCTATGACTGGCTCTGCCACCTCTCAGCCAGCTTTCCTCACCCTTGCAGAGCTCCATGTCCTCATCAGCAAAAGGGGCCAGGCATAGGCGCTCTGACGCTCCCTTCCCTCCCCCACTCTCACAATGCACTGTCCTAGAATCTGAGGCCTGGGAGCTATAGGACAGACTGAGACATCCAGGTGAGCAGCGAGGCCACAGGGCACATGGAGAGCAGTCCAGCCATGCTGAGAAGACACCTGGAGGGGTTTCTGGTGGACACCCCGAAGCAGTGAGGAAAGAGGGAGAAGTAGATGAGTGTGAGAGAGGCCAGTGAACAGGGGTGAGAGCTTTATCTTCAGGTGGAGATGGCTAGGTTTGAACTCTGTGGTAAAGGTAGAAAGCCAACTCTGGGTTTCGTGTTTTGATTCCTGTCTGTCTCCTGGGAGGATCTACTCACCAGACCATCATGCCTGGCTCCAGCACAGCCACACAGGTGCTATCGCAGGGCAGCTAGGATCATGGGTTTTAGAGTCAATCACATCCGGGGTCAATCCGGGTATTGTCACTTACATGCTAACCAAGTTACTCAGCTTCTCTAACCCACGTTAAATAAAAGACAAAATACTGGTTCTTATCTCATGGTTTATAAAGAATAAGTAACACAATACATGTGACCTACCTGACGCCGTGCCTGACAAGTCCTCAACGAAAAGTGGCTAAATCAGTCTCAGTCCCTTCAACTCTGGAGACTTCTGGACTTGGTGGGACCCCTTATACATTTGGATCACAATCTCTGCACTTCAGACTCATGCTCTCCACACCGCTGAAGTGGCATCCCTGAGCCCTGGCCCACACATTCTTCCACAAGCACTCAGAGCCGTTGTGCTTGTGTTTACTTCTGGTCTTGTCTGTCCTGTCCAGCCACAGGGATCCAGGTTCCTGGGACACTGTTGTTTCATAGTCTTCCAGGGTTCAGTCTTCCCTTTCACCTGTGCTGATTTCTTTTCTTTCCTTTCTTCCTTTTGTGGTACTGATTAAATGTAGGGCCTTCACACTGAGCTATATCCCCAATTCTTTTTTAAATTTTTTCTTTTGAGGTAAGGTTTCTCTAAGCTGCTGAATTGCTCAGGATCAAGCTTGGAATCTCTTCCCTCACCCTCCCAGAAAACTCCCAGAGTAGTGGGATTATAGGCTTGTGCCACCACTTCAGCCTCACCTGGGCTGATTTCTTTATCTGTTTCCACAAGTGAGCTATAGGATCCATATGCTCTTCTTTCTTTTTTCCAACTGTTATGGTTTATATTAGATGACCCTGAAGGCTTCAGTGGGTGCATGGGTGGAGCTTTTGGAAGGTGATTGAATCATGAGGTGATACAGCTGACTTGCTGTTAGGAGATGGGGTCTGGTCAGAAGAGGTGGGTCACTGAGGACATGACCTGGAAGTGTATATATCTCCTTCTGGGTTTTTTGCTTAGTTCTCTGCTTCCTGGCTGCCATGATGTGAACATCTTTCTTCCATTGGTCCCTTCTGCCATACTTTCCTGCCTTGGAGCCAGCCAACTATACACTAAAACTGTGAGCCAAAATAAACTTCTCCTTCTTTAAATTGTGGGTATCTGGTACTGGGTCTCGATGACAAGAAAGTTACTAAGATACCAACTAGCTGGTCATGTCTTTCTAGCCTCTCCTAGTATGCCCTGCTCTTCTGCTACCAGAAACCCAGTGTGACAGGTTGATGTATTGATTTGGCTAAGCAATTATGGCACTGCTATCATATTTGTACCACATTATGAGATCCAGAAAAAGGAAGAAGCACAATCCTGTCCCTTATAAAATCGGGGTGACTGCTCATCTGCAGAGAGTATAAAAGCCATAACACACCCATTTGGGGGAAGGGGTAAGTCAGTCTTGTCGCTTTTAGCCACCAAAATTATCCTAGAAAACATCCCTCATCTCCCTTTCTCTGTTACATCACTGGTCTCTTTTTATGATTTCTCCTCTTTTTTTTTCTTCTCTTCTTTTCTATCTTTTTTTCCCTTTTCTTCTCTCCCATCTCTCTTTTTCTTTCCTAATTTGCCTCACAGTTGGTACAGATAGTTAGTGGGATGGAGAAACGAGAAAAGGATATGGCCCTTCCATCATTAAAGTCAGCTGTGCATAGCATTATGAGGTCATCTCTCTGTACCTGACACTGTCCTCCCTCATTGCTATCCCATGTATGGGACTGATTCTTTCTAGGCCTGTAGAAATGTCAAGGTAACTTTCAAACACAAAACTTGGATAAGCCAGTGATTTTTAAGAGATTTCTGCACCCTTTATATCGGAGAAGTTCAGCCTTGCAAAAAAGAAAACACTGGGATTGGATTCAGGAAGGAAATTCCTCTCCTTGCTTTATAAGTTCCCAAGCCAATGTCCAGGACTCCTTCCCCTTCTGAACACACGAATAAAGACATTTAAGTCCTGGGGCTTTTCTTGTCTTTCAGCCCGATCCTCTGGAGTAACCTGTATTGTAATTTGGCTAGTGATCTTGGTACCCACCATTCCTGTCCTGCTACTCACCTGAAATGATTCCTCCAACTCAAGAAGGAAACTTCCAGGCCAGACAATCTTTCCTTCACCAGCAACCATGACCTTAGCCAGGACAGAAGCTCCAGCTATGTGGGATGAGACAAAGTATATTATTGAAGCTTTTCAATTAACTTTTGACAACTCATTATATAACCCTGTGCCACAAAAACTTACTGATAACTTGACTGCATTAAGAGACTCTTGGAGAGGTGATTGGACCATGGGGACCTTATATTCAGCGGTAGACCAACCCCTGATATTCATGGCTGAGTGTACTGTTAGAAATTGGGGCCCAGTTGGAGGTGGGCCATTGGGGGCGTGCCTGGTGCTCTTCCCCTATGCACTGATTCCTGGCTGCTACGAAGTGACAAGTTTTGCTCCACTCTGCTCCTTTGCCATGAAATTTCTGCCTGGGAGCCAGCCAATCAGGCAGTGAAACCTCAAAAAGTACGAACTCGAATAAACTTCTCCTCCTTTAAGTTGTATGTGTCAGGTATTTTGTTCCAATGACAAGAAAGCTGTCCAATATAATCCCATGGTTGTTTTTCAACACGCACCACAGATAGACACACATGCATTCTTTCCACCAAAAAAATGTGTCCACGTTGTGCTAATATGTTCACTTTTTAAATTTTTTTATTTATTTACTTCTCATGGTGCTGGTGATCAAACCCAGGGTCTCATGTATGCTAGGCAAAGGTTCTACTGTTGAATTACAATTGTCTTCTTACTAGTTAAACATCGATGTGATCATCAAAGTGGATTCCTGAGTCATACCAAATCTGTCAAACAGTACCCATCAGCCTGGACAGACTAGAACATGGGTAAGAGCCTGGGATTATAGGCTCTGTGTGTCACCACATCTGAGGAATTAAATTGTGCTCCCTCTGACCTTTGGTCCAACACCAATGTCAAACCTGAGATTCCAGCTCTCCCCAAACCCTCTCCTATCCCAAGTTCTGGCCTCCTTGTCACTGGTCTGAGCCATTGTTTGGAAAGCAGCTTCCTGTCTGAATTGCATATGCATAATAAGAAAGTTTGGATTTTGCCTGATACCAGAAGGTGGCCAAGGCTCCCTACGACACACAATCCCTTACCCTAGCCTGCAGTCCCATCCCAATGTCAGTTCTCATCAGCCTGTAGCCTTCAATTGGACTGTCTCAGCCTCATTTTTAGAAATTGTTCCTGTTCCTTTCCTCTCACTTTTCTTTGTAGAAGAGTAGGTTCTATTGAGAAACACACATAGGCATGCACGCACGCACACATGCACACATGCAGACATACATTCCTGGCATTACATATTAGTTCTAGTACCTTGGAAGCCTCAAGTAAATCTCACTTTAGGTGGCCCAGGTCACAGGCACCAACTCTTCCCTGCCTCTCCTGTCTCTCAAGGGAGCACCAGATATATAGTTTTTGAGGCTCAATACAAAATGAAAATGTGGACCCTTTGTTCAAAACACAGGTGAAAACTACCATTAAAGGTGTTGCTGGATGTGGTGGTGCATGACTGTAAGCTCAGTTTGACTGTAATCTCAGCAGTCTGGGGGGCTGAGGCTGAAGGATCTCAAATTCAAGCCCAGTCTGGGCAACTTAACCACTTAACAAGACCCTATCTCAAAATAAAAAATAAAAAAGGGCAGGGCAAGTGTGAAGCCCCTGGGTTCAAACCCTAGTATCCTCCACATGCACACATACACACACACACACACACACACACAAACACACTTAGTAAAACTTAAAGCTTTTCCCTTTTTTCACAGTTTCTCTTTCTACTTGAGATGGTATATTTTATTTGCCCTTTGATATTGCTGTCAAAATAAATTAATTAATTAAAAATTATTCCCATGAATTGTACTGTCTGTATTGTACAATGATAATTTATAACACAAATTCAAGAATGTTTAATTTGCATGTGGAATCATTGAAATCACTCAATTTATATTTTGCAGCTCATGCATACATTTATATTTTGGTCTCACCAGAACAGTATAAACACTGCAAAACCTAATTTAACATTTCATGTTGCTTCTGGTTGCACACGCACACCCCCCCCCAACCTATGAAAGCCAGTTTCTGGTGTAATAGGCTTGCTTTGCACTCACATGAGGGCTCATTGAGCTCTCACACATTGAGTGTCCACTGGGATGCAGCGTGTAAGGGGTACAGGGAATGCTAGGCTATGCTAATGGCATGACAAAAGAACAGAAGTGGACACACATTTTTATGTATCTCCTCCTCTTACATACATCCTCCATTGTCCTAATGCATTTCAATTTAGAAGCGTGATTTGAAAGATAAAATTACTTAGCATTTCCAGATTGGAACAGAAGAGCTCTAACTCTTAGCAGGGCTGGATTTGCCTCCAGGACATTTAATACCTGTGCCAAGACAACTCCCATCTTTAGAAGCTACAGTGCAAGGGCCATGCCTGATTCTCCCATGTTTTCAGCCCTTTATGGGGCTAAAAACTTAGTAGGTTGGGTTTAGGGGAGAGTTTGAGGTCCTAGATTTCATCCTCAGTACTGGAAAAAAAAACTTAATGGGTTAGTGGTTCACTTTTCAACAAACTCAAGCCATCTGTCTTTATTCAGAGAAGATAGTCCAGCTCTGGTCCAGCAGCCCCACTGAATGGCAGTCTCAGGGCAAATTGCTTCAACTGTCCCTCCAAAGGCTCTGTCAATCTCTGCAGCACTGCCCTCTGCTGGTTCCCCTTTGCGAGTGTGTAAATTTAAACCTTTGGGGTTCTCAAACTAACTTAACAGACAAAATGCAGACTCTGGATCAGTAGGTCTGGGGTGGAGTCTGAAATTCTGCATTTCTAATAGGATCCCAGAAGATGCTGCAGTTGCTGTCTGTGACCCACTTTTTGAGCAGCAAAGCACAAGATGACTCCGAGCTTCCTTGCTGACCTTTAGCTCTATGGTTTAAACTTCTTCAAAAGATTTGGTTCTCTCTCCTCTACTTTCTGCTCTGCTCTGTGCCTGGCTACCACATTCCTTCTCTTCTCAAGTTAAAGTTTCCACTGGTCTCTCCCAGGTACCAAGGTCCCCTGGTGCAGAAGTTATGCCCCTAGGGACCAGCTTGTTCCAACAGCCAGCACAAGGTTAAACACAGGAGGTTTGCAAGGTCAGGAGCTCCTATGAGTGATGTAGGCTTCATATCTAGCTTGGTACAAACAAATGGAGTATTTTGTGCCCTGGTGGTAGGCCTAGATAGTCACACATGAATTAGACACAAACCCTCAGGTCAATGAGATTGTTCACTCATCACCCACACTGAGTGAGTGCCTACCCAGGCTAGGTGCTGAGATCCTGTGCTGGGAGCTGCTCAGTGAGAAGTAACATTGACTGAGCCCCTGGATGTGCCAGGTTCTGCTCTGCGCTGAGCACTTTACCTGACTATGTCCTTTAACAAATGAGGACAGGTATTAGGAGTAGAAGTAGTCTAAAATTCTTCACTCAGGATTTGGACTGTAAATGACCTTGGCCACATTAATTCTACACAACTGTTGCTGAGATCAAAGCATCCATATAAATGTTCTATCTTGCATCTTCACTTCTTGTCCAAGAATAAAAGGAGCAAACTCTTCCAGTGCTCTTGTGTTCAAGTGCATTTGTTCAAGTGGCAGCCCCTGCACCTGGAGGGGTGTGCTCTCCCCACCTCCCCTGTATGCCTTCCCCCCCACCTGTAACCTCAGAATACTGCACAGTGGGGGAGGGGATGGGTTTAGCCCACAGCCACCCACACAGGCTGGCGAATGGTGACCCCAGACCCTTATTCTCTTTCACCAGCTGTTCTGTCCATCCCCCATACTCCAGTTGAGCCATCTACAGCCCAATCCTCCCTGTCCCCAGCCTCTCAGTCTTTCCTCTACCATCTTTTCTTCCTTCAAGTTTCTATCACTTTCATTTTCCATTCCCATCGTCTTCTCATCTCTTTTTTCTGCATTACTCTGGTCCACCCCATCCTACTGACTTGTTTCTTTAACCACTTCTGCTTTTTGCCTTGCCTTCAGTTCTGCCTCAGATAGTCCATCTGCACATGGGGGTCTGTCTGCCCAGCTGCAGATAAGCCTTGGTTTGTTTCTTTCTTCTCTTAGTGAAATAGTGAGTATGGTTCACTCACCAAGTTCCTCCCGGCTCGGTGACCTTTGTGTCCCAGAGTTTGGTTTGGGCAGAGGCTCCCTAAGGAGCAGACAACACAAGAAACACACCACTGATTCTCTCAACAGATGTAATAGGATTCCTGAAGGAACTTTTCCTAATGACTCTTTTTCAAAGCTAGGACAAAAAGACTTCACATTGAAAGAGAGCTGCAAATTAATTAGGACAACATCACCTCTAGGGCTCAGTGACAGGTGTCTAACCTGTTACTGCTGCTCTGGCTCTACTTACCCTCACTGTATACAAACAGAGGACTAGGGAGAGAGGAGAGGAAGAAATCATTAAGATCAAAAGCAATCACTGGAATTGAGAGGGCTCTGTGACTCCCCCCCCCCCCCCGCATGAGTGAGTTTCTCCTCCCATAATGCCACATGAGAGGGGTCTCCAGGAGCACTTCTTCAGAGGTTCAACGTATGCCAAGAAAGGGGAGACTGACATCGCATTTCCTGGTTGTGTAGTGGATCTGCTGATCTTCCCTAAGGTAGAAACATGACATTAGAGCAGGATGGGAAGCAGCTTACATACTCAGTGTGCAGGGCAAGGATTTAGGAGTTACCATCATATACACTGCAGACGGCAGCCAGGCTTCAGTTGTCTTGCCACCCTGGCCTCTAGGTAGGCATATCCTAGCAGCAGGAGAAGGTACATGATCACTGTGAGCTGAGTGAGAGGAGGGTTGGAAGAAGCCAAGCCACAGAAGGTCTTCCACGTCAGCACACTTCTCAGTGGAGATCTGACCACCCACTCTCACAGAAGTCCCTAAAGTACTCAGACCCATGCTCTACATATATGCCCACACTTAGATTCTGGCACGGAAGGCATCCATAGCCAGAGAAACAGACAACCACTCACAGCCTGGTAACTAAGAAATAGTATGACCTTCATTCCCTTGTCCTATATTATTTCAGAAGCTATAACTAAATGAGGCAAAGTAGGAGGGCAAAGCTCACGTCACACCTTCTTTCTTATTACGGATTTTTAGATCACAAGGCAAGTTTGAGCTAAAGTGACAGGAAGAACTGCAAGGGGAGTTTTACACTGAACAACGCTGTGAAATTACTGGAAGCTATGAAAATGAAACTGAGGGATTTGCCCAAATTATCCTCACATTATGGGAAGCAGATTTGACATCATCCTTATGTGAATGGGGGACAAGGACCTTTTTGATGCTGGCTGCCAATCAACCAAGTTCAGACTGTTCACAAAAATAGTTAGATGTACTTACCGAGCACCTGCTATGAGTCAGACACACGTCTAGATTTAACCCTGAGCCTAACAGACCTCATGCCAGTTACAGTCTAGTCGGGAAGATA